TGAACTTGCTGATGGTAGGGAAGGGCCTGGGTATGCGTAACCTAAAAATGGAATTCATAATATTGCTCCTTGAAGGTAAGCCAGGGTGGGTGGGAGGAGGTATCAGCGAATTGTTTTAATGAAATGGAAAACTTTTTCCCAAAATAAAAATATCTTTATTCACCTCTGCCTACCCTTCCTGTGCCCAAGTCTCTGTCGCTCTGTCTCTGCCTCTCTCCCCTTGTCTCCCTCTATCTCTCCCCCACTCCTCCTGAACTTGTGCCCAGGAGCCAGCCATGGTTTGTTAGCAGTTCCCTTCCATGGAGTTAAAAACATTGTGCTAGGTTTGGCGCCTCATACCACACTTCATGAAAAGCGCAAACCTTCTAATAGCAGGCCAGCCCCTTTTCCCACCAAGGGAGACCCGCGTTTTAGTTCAGTGCCTCTCCTTTATGTCCTTGTTTGGAACACTTTTCCCAGCATGCACTTGGTCAGGGCTGAGGAAGACAAGTGTAGAAACGGGGGCCAGCGCTGCGTTTGCAGACCAGAAATCTGCCTGGTAAGAGTTGCTGAGCCTGTGCTGCAGACACTGCGGAGAACGTACCTTTATGATCGATTTCTGCTTGTGGCGGGCTGCCTGCAGTGTCGTCACCTTTCCAGGCCCTGGCCGCCCACACGGAAGCAGGCCTGATCTGCAGGGTGTCTGAATTGCGGCAGGCCCTGTCCACTACCTCTTACACAAATTACTCGCGCTGGTTTCCTTTTCCACGCAAATTCATCAGTTCACAGCCTTGTAGCCACAGTCGGGAAGCTCTGGCAGAGAGCACAAAGTGATAAAGTGAGCTGATTTCACTATACTTGCATATTTTTTCTTTCCAAAAGCCCAGTCTTATAGGCAGTGCTCAGGAAGCATATTACAGTAAAAGGAAAATAACAAAGGAGTCTGATTTTCTTGCCATAAATTACTTTCCAAGTTAATTTCCTTTAACGATGATTCCAGATTTGCTTGAGTTTTCATGCACTGTGCATTTTACAACTGTGCCTTTGACAGAAGAAGAACAAGTATTTTCCCATGTTGGTTCCTTTTGTGCCGCTGACACGGACTTTCTTCGAGATCTCTGCCTCTAGAATGCAAAACATGGCTGAATTGTTCCAGAGGAGGAGCTGCCACTGTGCTAGGCTGCGCCCCTTCCCACTTGCCAAGTGCGGGCCTCCAGAGTCCACCGGAGGACAGGACCCTGCAGCCCAAAGGACGCACAGCCTGGTCTTCTCAGAGCCGTGTTGCAGGCTAGCGGTGAGAGCTGAGCCTGGCAGTCTTTGAGGGATCTGTGAGCCGCATTCCCTCTTCTCCCATGCCTGTGTGGACTAAGAGGGCCCTCGCTGAGCTCTGGAGTGGAGACCCACGCAGGCGGGTACAACCAGCCTGTGTGGTTGAGTGCTCTGGAACCAGCCTGAGTGGTGGAAAGGCGTCCTGGGCCTGACGCAGGCCCAGGAAACGAGCCTCTCAGGTGGTGTGGGCCCCAAGGGGCTGAACCCTGGTCAGCTGGTCAGCAGCCCCAGTGGTTGCTGTCACAGGAGCGCATCCTCAGGGCACTGTCATCTTCCAAGCAAGGAGCTGGGAAATTCGGATGGAATTTGTTTCCTTCCTCTGTTCCCAACAGTGTGAGCGGAGCAGATCGTCACTGGCAGATGGCGGAAGTTCAATAACCACAGCCTTCTCCAGCTCCTAATGTGCAGACGAGCGGATCATTAAGGGGGCTGGCTACCACAGCAAGCCCTTTCTTCCAGCAGCCCGTATTGCTATGATGATTCCTTAATAGCAAACCATTTATTAAGAAATGACATGGAGAGTGTCTTCCACTCATGACCGAAGTGGGGTGGGGGATGTGTGACTTAGAAATAGCATCTGAAGACAGTTTCCAGAAGCTGACCTTGGAGACGGCTCCTGGGTGGACTGCGATGGCCGCTCTGCTGCTGAGGTGCATTTTGTAGAGTGTTAGGTTCTGTTTGCGTAGCCTAGCGTTCAGGCCAGGAGGAGAATGATGCGTGCTCCTTGATTCAGAGTCCATGTGCAAACCATCAGCTATGGACACAGAAGCACAGGCAGAACTGTCACAAGGAGCCTGGGCTTGGTGGGGAGAGAGGTCTCATGGTCTGACTTCGGGCCCTTGATCTGGGGAACGTGCTTGGCCTCTGTGCCCCACGTGCTTCCCATGGCATCATGATAATTAAATGAGATAATGTGGCCCGTGGCAGTGGTGGCGGTGGTAGCGGCCTTCTTCGCTATCCTTGTCATCACGAGAGCATAAGGCCGGAGTGTTCCATGCCTGGCCTGGGTCCAGGGACCATGTAGGCTGTGTCCTGACCATCTCTCCCAGTCCAGGCCACCTGTACACAGAGCACGCCGGGCGTCACCAGGCAGGCACAGGACATGCGGTGCCTGGGCCTGGCCTCGCCACACCCTTGCTGTGCACCCCCATAGGCCCCTCCCTCAGATGCAGGGCCTCCACAACCAAGTCAGGTTCCACCCAGAAGCCGAACCTGCGCAGGCTGCAAACTGGGAGGGGGATGGGACCCACAGCCGAGCCTTGTCCAGGTGCTTGGAACTAAAAGCAGTTGTTACTGCAGAGGCGTGATGATGTAGGTTCGCGGTGCAAGTCCACTAGGCACTGTGGGCCAGCGCATGGTGAGGCGCACTCTTGTGGGCGCTGTGTCCTACCTGCAAGTGTGCTTTCTTTCCCTTGCCTCTCTGGCTCCCCAGCAGCTGGCGAAGACACTCACGGAAGGCCCCTAGGGTGGGCCACATGGTGACAAAGGAGTCAGTCACCTTGCTCTGAGCCTGTCCACACCTGGAGACCTGCCATTTTCTCCTACCCTTGAGGCCACCATGGGAAGAAAACCCACGCAGACCATGGCCACTGATGGCCGATCTGTTCGTTACGTTCTCCAGCTAAGGACAAACAGGGCTCTTGGCCCAGGACCTGTCTTTCGAAGACTGAGTGCCCTTGCCACTTCCAGCCTGAGTCACACAGAAAGTTTCATGAAATATAAGAGGAAATGTGCAAATGTGCATCTAGGGCCTGACCCAGGCAAAGCCCCTCCTTCCACAACAGCTTGCAGCGAGAGAGGCACTGGAACTTGAATCACTATGTGTCAGTTTTCCGGTGGTAACTGTTTCTTGTTTGTCATTGATGTTTGAGTAATTGCAGTCTGTCAGAATCCCAACAAGCCTCCGTGTGTCCCTGCATCCTCTCCCAACCCCATGGTCCCCAGCAGCAGCCTGGGAGTCTCGTGTGCTCCCCCCTGTTGCGACCTGGTCAGCAGCCCGAGTCTTCTCCTCACCCAGGGGCCCTCCTTTCTGCCCTCTGCATTTGCCAGCAGGCCCTGGCCCTTGGCTTCACCGATTCTGCCTTCACTGGCACCTGTGACACTCCCTCCCCATGACAGTGACATCTCAAGATGAGATAGACATGCTGGCTGACACAGTGCCCATACCTGCTGGTCCCCTTTAGCTAGTGAATAACATTCATCCAGTTGCCACCTACTTGCTAGCTGCCTCCAGAACATAGGGTCAGGGGTAGCACAGGGCACCAACCATGTATCCGTTGTCTCCACTGGGAGTGGAGTGTGGTACCTGCTGGTGTCGAATCCACATCCCTCAGTCTAGCAGGTTCCCTGAGACCAGGCCTTCACCACCCCTGCTCCCCGGGTGTAGGCCATATCGTGTCAGAGGGTGGAGCCCAGGCCTGCTCTGCCCCTGCTGGCCCTTGTGCTCCTGTGGGTCGCCCGAGCCTGGCTCTCAGCCACCCCAGCCCTGGCCTTTGGGGCCTCACACGGGACTAGTGAAGGGGACCTTTAGACTTCGATAGGGACAGCCACTGCCACCACTGCAGACCATGTGACACTGAGTCTGTGCTGGGTTCCATCCCAAATTGTCCCTCAGGGGGCCCTGGCCCAGCTTTCAGTTCCTGGGTCAGGTGTCCCTTCTGATGCCAGAGTGGGTGCAGACCACATTTCGTGGTCGTGCGGCTGCTCCTAGCAGTGACAGCCTCAGGAGCCATCTGCTCCTGAGAATCCTGGCCCTGCGCTGCTCCTGACCTCCTCCTGAGGGGCGTGAGCTTGTGTGGAACTTGCTGCGTAGCGGTGTGTCCACTGCAGGCCTCAGCGTGTGTGGAAGGCTCTGGCCGTCCAGCATGTGGTGCTGCCCATGCACTGTGCCTGCTCTCGGAGCATCTTGGACGAAAGTGTCCATGCTGTTGCGGTGCCACCGATTTTACAGACTTATTCTATGAAATCAGGGTTTTGTTCATTCAAAAGGTTCATGATGCTTTTGCAGACAAGGGTTCCAGAGGCTTAGGACATAGAAGTACAGGGGCTTGCAGCTCACTAAGAGTCACCCCGAAAACCAGTATTTTCAGTGTGGGATCCAAGGTTGGGTCGCTGCTCTGTGTAGGGCCACGACTGCAGTTGATGCCTGCTGAGGGTGCGTTTCCCTCATGGCAGTGGTCAGTGCAGGGGTGGGCCAGCGATCCAGGACAGTTTAGGACGGGGGCCGTGAGCGACAGCTGCGGAGAGCAGCAGGTAAAGGTGGGGTGGAGGGGGTGTCAGCAGAGTGGAAACCACAAGGACCCCACTTGGGGGCTTGAAGGAGGAACCCCTCTCACCCTAAAATACAGGTGAGGAGGAGCTGTTTAGAGCAGACCATTCCAGTGTCTAGGAAAAGCCCTGGCCAGTCACCGGAGACAGGGCTGAGCCCAAGCAAGGGGCAGGCGTTGGCTCCAGCTGTGACCTGGCAGTGGCTTGTGATTACCAGGGAAAGGGGATGAAGGTGGCTGTGAAGAACTGTGTCTCTCTGCGGGACCCTGTTGTCACTGCCCACGGTGCGGTGAAGTCAGGGTGGACCTGATTATTTCGGGTAATTTCGGACAACAGGGCTGCCGAGGGCCCTGAGGAGCGGCCCTCACGAGTCTCCTGCTTACAGAGCCTGGCTGACGCTGCTTCCTCTTCCTTCTTCCTTCCAGCACCCATAGCTGCAGGAACTGGCCCCAACTTTTCTCTGTCAGATTTGGAAAGTTCATCATACTACAGCATGAGCCCGGGCGCCATGAGGAGGTCACTACCCAGCACGTCCTCCACCAGGTAATCCCACGAGGCCCTGTTGGAGGGGCCTTGTGTTCATCTCAGCTCGACTCCACCCCATGCAGGCATCAGGCCTTCAGCAGTGGGCCTGTCTTGGAGACTGCGCCAGTGAAGTGGTTCAGACCCCACACGCTGTTGATGTCACTGGGGAAACAAATACACCAACAGTTGTTCATACGCACTCAGACTCCCCATATAGCTAAACAGGGAGCAGAGCTGTGCCTGATGGACTGAAAATAGTCTTCAGAAGCTGCATCCTGTGCCTGGCTGGGGGGTCAGGAAGGGTGGGGCCACGGTTGGTTGGTGGTCGTAGAGGACAGGGAGCACAGGGAGGTGGGCACTGTGTTCCCCCGAGGGGAGGGCACCCTTGGCTGGGAATGGAGGGCATGCATGGCTCCTGGGGCAGGAGATGAACACTGATGACAGCAGCCCTGTGCCCTGCCCACAGGTGACACTGCGGCTTGGGCCCAGCCCCTCTCCTGCGGAGCCCCCAAGCTGGAATTTCCCTAGAAGACAAAATGGTTTGATATCCTGGGGTGAGGTCATAAAAGACATACAGCCAAGCACAGGTCAGGGCAACCACAGACAAAAGGCAGGGGAAGCAGGGCCCCATGAGGGAGCTGGGGTGCAGCCAGACCGCCTCCCAAACTCCTCTTCCCTGCTGCAGGCATGCAGCAGAACCCCAGAGGCAGCACTGGTGGAAATGTCCCAATAATCAGTCTCTGGCAGGGCGTAGGCCAAGCAGCCACAGTGTTCCTTCACACAGTGGCACTGCACTGGATGCTGATACCAGAGCAGGACAGGCAGAACGTGTGTGTACTCTGCCGAAGGCAGTCTCTCCTGAAGCAAGGCCAAAGCTTAGTGATTGAGAACAATGCCGATTACTAACGCAGACTCCTCCCAGGGCTCCTCCATGACAGTGGAAACCACCTGCCCAGCCATTCCAGTACCTCCAAGGCTGTTAAGGAAGCAGCTCCTCCCCACATGGGACTATGGCTGTATCGTCTATGACGCTGTCTGAAGTCCTGGACTCGCTCTAGTTGTGGGCTCCTAGGGGAGGCTCAAATCCAGAGAACGCTAGGGGCTGGCCAAAAAGCTCAGCAGATTAAAGCACCTGCAAGCAGGTGCAGGGGCCGGGGGTTCAATCCCAGGCCTGCCGTGCTGGCCTTGCCCCCAGGGTGCACTGAGATGGCAGTTGAGCCTGGGCATAGTGACATGTGCCTGTAATCCCAGCTCTTGGGAGGCTGTAAACAGGCAGATCACTATGAGTAGGATCTGGTAGTGAGACCCTGAATACCCTATAGACCCTTCTCTAAAAATTAAAAAAAAAAAAAATCCAGAGAACGGTGTAGCAGGTGAGCAGTCCAACGTGCAGTATCCCGCGGGTTTCCCGCACGTGGCCCCCATGCTTGCGGGAGCATTCACATGGGAGGGCCTCGGCCATGCACTGTGGGGCCACCGTGGGGCCACTTCGCCAGCCCTACAGGCATGGCCAGTTTATAAGCTCAGGCCGTCTCCTTCCCTTACGCGCCGCACGTGTCCTGGGTACTCCAGCCTCACCCAGCCTCACGCACTGTGACAGAGCAGGAACTGGCGAGTCATGTCCCTTAAACGGCGTCACTCTGGCATCCTGTAATAACCAGGCTGAGGAGGAGCTCGTTATAAACGGCATTCACAGCTAATCACTCTACGATATGTTTGTTTTACTCTCATTAGGCTCTTTGGAGGATGGTCTTTAAAACATTCTTTCAGTACATAGACTCAGCAGAATAATCAGTATCAGGATAAAAGATACCAGACTCGTTACAGACACACGGCCTGCCTGCACAGCCAGGCCGTGCGAATGGCATGCGACGGACCGAGATGTCACCTGGCGGCGTGGGGCCTGCACAGCCAGAGTCCACTCCAGCTGAAGCACACCCAGGGAGTCCAGGCTGAGGGACAGAGCTTGGGCAGTGGGGAAGGCCTCGGGTGGTGCCCATGGCTCTGTGAGGCGAAGGCGGCTCCTTGTGAGTCAGACCCACTCAGCAGCTACCAAGCCAGGCCTGCAGGCCTGGGCACTGCTGCTGGCCAAGGTGACAGTGGGCACTAGAAATGTGAAGTCACCATGGACAGGCAGCTGCTCCGCCTCCAGCCTTGCCCTCCTCACAGTTCGTGGACATGGGAATTAGTCTCAGCTCCTACTCCTACTTCCAGGATGATTTCAAGCAGCTTTCAGATTTGATATATGACAGGTGACAGGCATGGAAAGATCCAGAAACAACATGGAAAGGCAGGAGAGGTGGTTATGTCATGCCTACACGCAGCCCTGAGCTTCCAGGTTGTCAAGGCAAGATAGGGAGGCAACACGATACATAATTTGCATTTTCTAATCAAACGGAGCAAATGCATTTAAGGAGGCCAGATTTGCTTGTTGCATGTATTGGAAGGAATTTTTTGTGTATTTACCCTATTGTGACAAAAGGACTTCCATTAGCTGCAGTTCTACCTAAAGTATGCGAAACTTCTTCAAGTAGCTCTGTCTGCACAATGGCAAGGAGAGCCACAGAGACTCCAAGGAAGCAGCGAGGCCTCTGCCCTGGGCAGTGCGTCAGCGCCACCTGCTCTTGCTGGGCAAAGCTTAGCCGTGACACACGGCCAGCAAGGCCAGGCTGCCTGCAGTCAGAGCCCTCCCACCAGGAGCTTCTCAGCCACGAGCTCCACTTGTGCCCTCCACCCTCCCCTCCCCATGCTGCGGTCTGCAAGCCACTGCTTCTGGCTCCCATCATGCCCTGTGCAGGGCTGCAGTGACCACAGAGGTGTCCTGTGCTGCCCTCCTCTCCCCAGCCACTGTCCCTGTTGGTCCCTGTGTGCAGGAGCTGCCCCGCCCACTCCCCACACTCTGGTCTGAGGGCTTCCCCCACTGGCCTGCTGCAGCCAGTCTGGCCGACTCACAGAGGAGACTCGATGGCCCCTGACCATGCACACCATTGTCGTTGCAGCTCCACGAAGCGCCTCAAGTCCGTGGAGGACGAGATGGACAGTCCTGGAGAGGAGCCATTCTACACGGGCCAGGGCCGCTCCCCAGGCAGTGGCAGCCAGTCCAGTGGGTGGCACGAGGTGGAGCCAGGTGAGTGGCCTGGCCAGCAGAGCCAGTGACATGGGCACAGGTGCACGTGAGGCCTGCGGGCTGCACTGAGCAGAAGTCTCTAGGGGTGGTGTGCCATCACCCCCAGGGATGGTCAGCTGTGCTAGGATCCAGTGTTCCATTTGGGTTTGGTTGTGGTTTTCTTAGGGATTTTTGTTGTTGTTTTGTTTTTTGAGAAGGGATCGCACTGTCTCCCAGGCTGGCCTCAAACTGCTGGGCTCAAGTGACTCCTTCCTCAGGCTCCCAAGGGACTGGGACGACACTGTGGGGTTTTGCACTTAGCATTTTTTGGTGTAGTTGTTAAAATTATCTTTTAGTAATCATACCTTAAACCCCTGAGTGTTTGCTGAGTTGGTAGCACAGGAAAGCAAACAAGATCTCTGGTTAGAGTTCGCAATTGAACTTTCGGGCACACTTCGTCGTGTGTGGTGTTTCCCTGTTACTAGACATCAGAGTCGTACGCTTTATGAATTTCAGAGCTGCCTGTGTGCTTCCTGCTCTAAACTAAGCAAGTAATGCTCATCTAACCCCTCGGGCATTCTGGTCTTCACTGAGTAAGCAGTGGGAACCATTTGGACAGCAGAGCTTTAAGCTGCCCCAGTCACCATGTGCCTTGTGCGTGGCAGCGGGGCCCAGAGGCCAGGCTGTGGGTGCAGCCCCAGCTGCCGTGGGCCAGTGGCCGGCCAGGGCAGCCCTTGCACATGCCTCTGCTGTGTGGCTGGCTCCCAAGTAAAAGATATGCCTTTCTGGGCTGGTCTGCACACTCACCTGGCATGGCAAGGGCTCTGAGCGAACCTAGGGCCAGCCTTGTTCTTGGGCCCCAGCTCCTTCAGGAGACAGCGCCTACCCAGGGTGGGACAGGGCGTCTCAAAGGGCACCCTGGGCCAGGTCTTTGCTGTGGCATCAGAGCGCGAGCAAAGCAAAGCAAAGCTCAGCCCATCCAAGCTAGATCTCTGCTTCGCAGGACTTCCTCCGCTGCCCTGCTGCCAGCACCCGGAGCTCTCAGGATCTCAGCAGAGAGGAGTCACTGCTGACAGAGAGAGGTGCCTATCACTTTTCCTCAAAAATCAATGACCCTCAGCCCATCAGGCCTCCGTGACCTAAAATAGCTGCTGCCTCTCCTCTTAAAATTCCTAACTCCACTCCCCTGTCTTTGCGCGTCTCGGTCACTGTTTCACCCTCACAGAGAGGACTCCGGCCACCGTTCGCACCTCTGTCCCTGGCAGGGTTTCACACATCACGGGGTCCCAAAACTGACTGGATGGATGAAGGCACGCAGCAGCGCGTGCGGGTCCCCAGGAAGCCTGAAGGCAGGGCTCGCTGCCAGCAGTCTTCTCTCAGCGCTGCTTACCGTCTTTTAGTCTGTAGGCTTTCAGTCACATCTCGTTTCTAGAAAGTAGGAAGCACTCAGTACGTCTCAGCCAGAGACCCACTGGCAACACAGGCGTCCAGCTGTAACACAGGTGCCCCTGGCCGCACTTGTGCTTCAGAAAGCAGGTGCTTCTCTGGTCAGTGATAAGCAGGGCCTTTAGAAGTAGGGCTCGGGACATGGTGCAGTTCTTGGCTTACTTTAGTCTGCTGTAATCCTGAAGCTTGTGTGTTAGGTTCTTGGGGGCTCCTAGTGCTGGCACCCTGATCTGCCTGACAACACCATCGCCTCCGAGTGGAGAGAGTGCACCAGCGTACAGGTGCAGCTCGACACTGCTGGCAGCGATGGAGAAGGCAGCGGGGCGCGGCAGTGCGGTTCTGCTGTGTACCACTGAGGACGGTCAGCCCTGCTTCCGCCACCGTCACAGAACAGTGGCCGTTCCAGAGCTCTGACAGCATCGATGCCTTGGCTGTGTGCCTGCACTGATGGAGCCGCGGGGAGCACCACTGGTAACAGTGCCCGCCTCCCTTATCTCTTTAGTATTGACCCTGGTCATTAGAGACTGGCGTACCAGGGCCTGGGCACAGTGACAGGGCCTGCTCATTAACCTCACTAAGGAAGAGCGGCCCAGGGAGGCTGGACCACTGAACGAGCTAACCACCTCATAGCATGGCCTGGGATGCTTTACCATGGTGTTCGTTCCCACAGTCCCACTGGTTTGGGCCATGTGGGCACCCGTCCCGCTGGTTTGGGCCACGTGGGCACCCGTCCCGTGGGGATGGACCCTGGTGGTACAAAGGATCTAATTACTTTTATAGTTTTTTTTTACCATTACAATTAATAAGTATTATTGATTGAATCTAGTTATAGTAATCAACAAATTTACGTCACTAAGTGAAAATAAATTAATTTATATTCGTGAATGTCTTTAAAATTTGTTATAAAGGCGGTTGATTTACAGAAGGCAGAAGACATTAATGAAGCCTACACATAGGTGAGCTGTGTAGCACCACACGATGGGGTTCAGATCAGAGCTGCCCAGCAGTGAGACAAAAATTACGATCCCTGGTGAACATGCTAATACCAGGAAAGGCCTAAAGCAACCTGGTGGCCTGTAAAACATCCCCCGCCAGAGGGAAGGAAACCTCCTCACGTAAGCGCATGTGCTTTGTGCTGTGTGTCGGGTACACACATGTGGTCATCGAGCCGTGGCTGCCTCTCCAGAAGCTGTGCTGTTGCGTGGCAGCCGCGCTCCGAGTGCATGGCTAGTGGACAGCACACGGCGCGTGGGAGGCCGAGCTGCGCCTGCCGGCCCTCAGCGCCCCCACGGGCCCTGCTCGCGGCCCAGGCGCACGCTCCGGGCGTAGAAGCTTCCGGGGAGCACGGCCTGGGTTTCTGCGGACAGCGGTGCCTGCCTGCACCCCTGGACCCTGCAGCCGTGTTGGAAGAGGCATGAGGCTGCGTGGCTTTCGGGCAAGAGGGCGATGGAGGATGCACTTCGGTCTGCGGGGCCTGCTTGCACCGAGAAGCTGCGGAGCCCGCTGCACTCCGGCTCGCCGCGCGCTCCAGGAGGAAGAGGTGCAGACTAGAAACGGTAATCCTCACACTCTGCCATGAGCAAGCCTTGGGACTGGTTAGCACACTGCCCTGACTTTTTCTCTCACTGGGGACAGCGAGCAGCCTTGCCTCCTCACAACTATGGAAAGATCAAATGACAAAAAGGCAAGAGCTGCCACCTCCTGAGTGCCAGCTGTGGACAGAGCATTCGCCGCGTGGTGTTGTGCAGGCCACTGTCACGTACAGTCGCTGCGCTGCGGGCCCACAGCTATGCACAACTACCGTGCACTTGTGGTAAGTGAGTTGAAAACTCTCAGGTGTGACAAGGATTAAGATACCATGAAATTCACTGAAGCATACTGTACACAACTGCATCAAGGAGATGGAAAGAGCTTTGTGGGTGATGGGACCCCAGGACACATGCACCGGGCTGAAGACCAGATGGGCTGGCAGCGGAGGCCACACCCAGACCCACACCCCGCCGGGGCCGCCACCTCACCTGTGCTCTGAAGTCCCCGCCAAAACGTCATCAGACCGGTGGGCCATAGAGTTGGGCTGGCTCATTTATGTACAGAAAACACAAGGATTCAGGATAGAGATTAAGTTCATAAAAGGGTAAAATAACCAGCAACTTTAGCTGGAAGAGGCAAAACAAAAGATAAAAGAGAGAGGATGCATGGGTGGGAGGGTGAACAGACAGACAGGACGGTAGCTTAGGGTTTGCTGTGGTGTTTTCCTGTGGCTAATAAATATTTGTCCATGTTTGTAGAACTACAGATCAGGTACTTTTAGCAGAGACAAAGGTGGTACCGCAAGTGCCTCCGCTCCAGTCTGCGAGCACAATGTAGGTATTTCCTAGACTCAAGTAATGCTAAAATGCAATTAACAAAAATATATGTGCTTCTCTTTTGTCACCAGCATGTAGCTGAAACCAAAAACATAAAAGTGTTTTATCAGAAATAGCTATGTTGATTAAGCAGGCACCACAGGCCACATGTGGCCCAAGCTGTGGACATGTGCGTGCCAGGCACATGGAGATAGACACTTCTGTGTATATGGTGTGCAAGAGCGCCGAATCCTAGCCACTAGACCACCAGGGAGGCAGACATGTCTGTGCACACACCTGGGCTTTCATTCATGTCCAAAGTGATGCGGATAGAGGATACTGCTATTTGTGGCGACTTCCTTCTCTCGCCTGTTTTCATATTTTCCCAATGCCAGCACCTGTGTTTCAATGTCATATAACCACATGTCACACCATCAAATTATGTACAAACAAGGGTCTCTTCTCGGCCATCGGGGCAGTGGCAGGGCAGGTGAGTGCTGCAGCCCCAGAGGGAGGAGAGGAGTCGGGCCTGCAGGCCCTGGTCGAGGCTTTCCTGCCTGTGGTGACTCCCATCAGGGCCTGCGCTGCTCTCTGCGTGCCCTCGGACTTCAGGTATACCATGAACACGTCAGTTGATCAGACACAACCCCCTTCTTCCAGGGTTGGAGGCGTCGCCTCCTCCAGGATGACATGACAACACAGCCAGTGTGGACTGTTTCCTGAGGGCCGCTGGGCAGCGTCCCAGGTTCATAGAGGGGAGGAGCTCTCCTGCCTGAGTTGCGCACACCAGAAAAGTCGCCTTAGCCCCGAGCGGCCCTTACCTTGGGAAGATTGGACCGGCGGAGTAACCACTACGCGGGTTTGCGAGCCTAGTTCCTGCCGTATGTAGCTTGCTGTGTGCTGTTTCTGTCTCAGTGCTCAGGAACTGAGATCGTGGGCTTGCTCTGCAAAAGAAAGAATGATTGTGCCTCTTTCTAACTAATTAAAAAATCCCACAGAGCCTTAGGTCTTAGATACAGGTCTGCGGAGGAGCTCTGAGGGGCCCAGCACCTCCGTCCTCCCAGGAAGCTGGCTCACAGGTACAGAGCGCGAGTGCTCTGGGTTCCTTCAGGACACGCCGCAGGGCCCTGCTCCTGGTAGATTCGGCATCTCACTATTCTTTGGGAAGAAAGATCCCATCTCTGGAAATCTTCATCTTCTCCTGAGCAAGAGGTCATTCTTGAAATCTTC